TTCGTATTTCCGAGACGCTCAGTTTGACTATAAGTTCGCTGAAATCGGAGTTCGGGTGCTCCCGGAATTAATTTTTGAAGTTTCCAACTAGCTTTTGCCTCGAGATTCGTGCCCGATCAAGCTAATTTTGTGATGTCTTATCAATACTATTTTTAAATAGTAGTGAAACAAAAATTAGATATATAAATTAAAAAAATAACTATATATATAACATTATTAAATCATATATATAAAAAACTAAAATATTTTAGAATTATGTATTAATAAATTCAATTCATAATTAATTTTATAAATTGAATAAAAATGATGTAAAATCAGATACAATAATATAAAATGTTAGATTATTAAAATGAAGATAACGGAATTTTTTTTACGTATTCAATGAATATAGAAAATTATTTTCCTGTTTTGCTCCTTTTACTAATTTAAGTTATCATAAGCTCCTTTTACTAAATTAATAAATGGATAAATTCCGTTTAGAAAATTTGTTTTTGTTCTTAGGATGATACTTGAGTAATACGATGAATCTGACGGTGGACGATGCCAAGAATCGGTTGGCTTTGAGTGTTGAAAGAGAGTTTAAAATCCTTGATTCAAATTTTATCATTGTTGTAGAGGAGAAATTTAATTTACGTGGCTTTATGATTGAAAATCAAATGTAAATTAATAAACATGGATTATGATTTATAGAAAAGTAAAAGAGTTTTATTATGAGATGGTTCTAAATTTCTTAGGTGAAATTTGGGTCATCTATTCTAAAAGTGTATCATTGAACATAAATAATTGATTATTTAGAGGAAGTACGATTTGGATACATATGAGAGAGGGTTTAAATGATATAGATATAAGGTTGTGGGAAAGGTTTACAAGTTTAAAGATCAATTAGGAACAAGAATTAAACCATATGATAAGTTTTGAAAACAAATTTGTTAGGCGGATGATGCTCGACTTTACCAACAAATTGGTTTGGTGAGCTGAGCATCTATTAGTGAGGATGGAGAGTAAAGAGAGTAGAGGGAGTAGAGAGGGAAAGAGTTCTAACAGAATCTCCATTATCTTAATCATAAAATACATAGAAAAGGCCAAAGATCCAAAGTCTCGAGCAAAAGGTGAGGAAAAGATTTTTTAAAAAGGGGTTCTAAACTATTTCTCATTGCCTCTTATTTATAATGTTTTGAGAAGAATGAAATACAAGGTACACAACAGTACATGTATAATGCTACAAGCTTATCTAGGACTTGTGCCACCTCCTAACTAGATATAGGAGGGCGAAGCCGGTGGTCATGCGAGCTAACTGTCATTAGGTGATCTAAAGAGGAGCATGTAGGCATAAGGTGAGTCTGAGGAGAGATGGACCCGTAGTTGGTGAATCGTCTTGTTGGGTTGAAAACCATTTTATGAGGCTTGAGATCATCATGAATGGCCAACGGAAGTTTTTGTGGGGATGAAAGTCTTTAAGATTGATAGTGGTAGGAGCCAAACAGAGTGTGAGGTAGGCACTTTCTATTTATTGACTCTCATGAGCTCAAATGGAGGATCTAATTGAGATAAGTGATGCTCTAATTACTGAATTAAGAACTTTTTAATAACCTAGCATAAGCTGAGCTCCCTACCAAATATAGACGAGTGACACTTGTCAGTATCCTTGGGTATGTTCCACTTTGGTTCATGATAAGTCCTTTAAGGGATCTGTTCCTGGGATGGATGACTCTCATCATCACCCGATGCTACCTATCAAAACACCCAAGAAGGTGATTATATGTAAATACAAGGTTTTGAGATTGGGGGTGCTAGGTTAGTAATCTTTTCTTGGGTTAATGGTGCATTGTTGAGAGTTGAATGGAGGGGAAGAGTAAGGTGATGTGTGTTAAGGGTTGGGAGGTTTGGATTGGTTGAGACAAATGATCATTAACATGCTTTCACCTTGTAATTTATACTTCTATTTCTAAAAATATGAGTGATGTATTGGTTGGATCTATTTATGAGCTAAGGGATTTTATACATAATAGTGGGGGATAGAGCTATATACTTCAAATAAAAAAGGTCACTTGTCATAAGTGACTTTTAAAACATGGGTATTTCCATACAAGTTAATTGGAATTTCATCTAAGAGGGATGAGAAGTTTGACACTTGAACACAAACACAAATTAATTTAATCTAAACATTTGGTTTGTTAGTAAATAAATGGCCAAAGAAATGCTAATTTTTCCAACAATTTTGGTGTGATTGTAAGAATTCCAACAAAAAAATACAAAATCATAGAATTTCACCAAAAAGAGATGAAAAGAAATATTCTCACATTAGTTTGAAGTTAATTTGCCACTTCTATAAATATAAGTGTCTATAAAGAATTGTTGGACACCCTTCTAAGCAGTGTCTTAGCTCTCCCATCAAGTGATTTTAAATAGTCAAATCATTTTCGAAAGAAAAGTGCTTCATGTTGGAGGGATATGTAGATTGAAGTGGATTGGAGGTAGTGGGCTGCAAAGGTTGGATTCTGTTATGCCAGAGCTAGTGGGATACTGAGGTGGAATTTTGATATGATATGTGATGTTATTTCAAAGCCAGTATGCTATCATGGTGGGATTCTGATATGAGATATGTTTTGATGTTAGAGTTTAAGGACTTTTTTGAAAATTTTTATAAGACATTTATTTATATTTCAATTTTAGTATTGTTGCGGATCTATGGCTTATGATTTTAATGATAGCTAACATTCTTTTTTCTCTACAACTGCCTTATCTAC